TTAATTCTGTTAATTAAAAGAAAATTTTTGTCAGTTAATAGTCAACTAATAAAGTTAACGGTCAACTAATAGAATTAATAAAATATTACAAAACGAAGATTATTTTCTCTAATTTTAATAAGTGAGGGGTTAAAAATATCACAGTATATGATGAAGGGTTAAAATTTATGAATTTAATAAGGTAAACGATTAAAAATATTACAATATAAAGTAAAAAGTTAAAATTTTTAAACTTGATAAAGTGAGGGATTAAAAACAAGTTTTTGCCGTAAAATGGTCACTGATTGCTCTCTGCAGAGTTTAATCAAGATTCATTGTTTGCCCGTAAAAAGTATTTTAAAGTAAGGAAAATGATTTGAAAATAATTATTTATTATTTTTATGTAATTTTATATATTATTTAAATAATTTATTTTTTAATTCATTTAAAATTTATTATATTAAATACATTTAATTATTTAATAACAGATAAAAATTATATAAAAAATAATAAAAAAATTATCCTATTTTTTCTGATAAAAAATTTCCTATTTCATTTAGAATTTTCCAATTAAAAAAATTCAAAATACTCGAAATTAGGGATTGCAGAACAGGGACTGATCTTCGGCTTCTGATGATGGATCCGCTCTCCGCCCTCCGCGACTACACCATTCGCGGCGACCTCGACAAGATTGTGCGCGTCAACGATGACTTCCGTTTCGGCTCCGACTACACCTTCCCCTGCAACGCCGAGACCGCCTACCGCTCTAAGCAGGGCAACCTCTACACCCTCGAAACCCTAGTGTACTACATCAAGAACCACCACATCAAGCACACCGACTACATGCACGATGCCCGCGCCCACCGCATCCCCGCCGTCACCTTCACCGACCGCAAAACCCTCCTCGATTACCTCACCGGAAAGGTCGCCTCTTCCGATTCCATCGTCTGGAATCCCCCCAAATTTCCAGAGGAATATCGCCCTGATGCTTCCGCGTTCGATGCTGACAGTAATAACAACAACAGCAACAGCAAAAACATGGACGTTGATGACGCTCGCGATAGCAAATTGGGTGTTGCTCAGGACGAAACTGAGCAAATGGATTATATTTCTGTGATTCGATCAATTGAGAAGCCGTTGAAGGACAGGGAAGCCATATTGGAGTGCAAGAATAGGGATTTTTACAGTGTTCTTGTGGCATCGACTAAGAGAGAGGAGGAGAGGCAGAGGATAGAATCCCAGCAGAGAAAGGATGGTCTGGTGGCGAAGAGTAGGTTGATGGGGGCGGATGAAAGGGGGTTGGGGTTAGGTTATGGGGATGAGATGATGGGGTTTGATTCTAAGCCGAAAATGCACTTGAAAGGGGGCAAGATTGGCGAGGGGGTGCCTATAATTTTGGTGCCAAGTGCTTTCCAGACGCTGATTACGATATACAACGTCAAGGAGTTTCTTGAGGATGGGGTTTTTGTCCCCACTGATGTGAAGGTGAAGCAGATGAAGGGGGCGAGGCCAGAATGTGTTACTGTGCAGAAGAAGTTCAGTAGGGATAGGGTGGTAACGGCTTACGAGGTCAGAGATAAGCCCTCTGCATTGAAGCCAGAGGATTGGGAGAGGGTGGTTGCAGTTTTTGTTTTGGGGAAAGAGTGGCAGTTCAAGGACTGGCCGTTTAAGGATCATGTGGAGCTGTTTAATAAGAGTAAGTGGAAATTTTAGCTGATATTATTGTTATTTGAGTTTAAAGTTCCTTCTTTACCTATCCTAGTTGCTTCTCTAAATAGTTTAAGTTTGATTATCTAAGTCAGGCGTCTTTGAGTGTGATCTGGAACTGGATTGTGAAGCTGAAGGGCATTTCTAAAATTCCTTATGCATCTAAATTTTGGACTTTTGTGTACTTGGTAATTTTGTCTACCTGGTAATTTTGTCTACCTGCTTTTGAGGATGTAAGCTGTGATTTTTTCTACGCAGTTATTGGATTTTACATGAGGTTTGAAGATGACAGTGTGGAATCAGCCAAGACTGTGAAGCAGTGGAATGTGAAGATCATCTCAGTGAGAGTTTATTTCCCCGTTAAAATATAATATTGCTTGATTTGCTTCTATGAGATTTTGTATTATTGAGTGGAAGCAAGTAGTTTTTGCCCTGTTTCTTCCACTTTAGTTTCTTTGCTGGCATTTCAAGGTGCTTTATCCATGCAGATTAGCAAAAACAAGCGACATCAAGACAGGGCTGCTGCACTGGAATTCTGGGACAGACTAGAGGAGTTTGTACGCTCACGATCTCATTCCTGAGCTGCTCAGCTTTTAGGCAACATTCATGTGTGCTACTTTAACAATCATTAAGTATGACCTTGATACATAGTTATATATTTTTCAGTCAAATTTATATATCAAGTTTATTGTTTAACACTTGTCATTAGTCACTTTTAATCTTCATAAAGTTTGTGGTTGGAGTTCAGTTATCTAGTGTGTTCAATTAACATTACATGTGTTCAGGTATTGGCATCTATTGGGCTGTGTCAACCCAACTTTTGGGTGTACCAATTTCTTCAACTAGGTCCTGTTCTCCTTTTGCTAAGGTCATTTTAAACCATTGTATAGTAATTGCTAATAATAAGTTTGCCTCATCTTTTGAGTTAGCACCACATGTGTTAATGAAGATTTTTGTCAATGTATTTAGTTTTAATTGCTTTTCTTCATTATGAAAAGAAATGGATGTTGGAACCTCAGACTGTCGTCTTTTTTGGTAGTTGATGGATTTGGATTTTGTGTTTATTTATAGCTGTAAAATGATTTTTACTTGAGGATGGAATTTACCTTTTAAACCAAAATTTTCTTCTTAAGTTACTTTACTTTTCTTGAACAGGTAGAATCCAAAGTGTGCTTCTTAAGTTACTTGAACTGGAGAATCTGGAAGTTTGTGACAGTGAGGCTATGTGGGCAGATAATATTTATTGAAGACATTTGCTTTGCTACTGGAGGTGCTTACCTTTAACTGTTGGTTGTGTTTCAATGAGCATCCATGCACGTTAGTGGTTTGTTACAACTGTAACACCTCTGCTAATTTTGCTGCTGGAATGATTCCTCTTTCTGGAATACGGATCCATGTGGCACAAGGTCTGTTATCAAGATGCTTCTCCTCCATGTATTGTCAATTTTTGCTTATGCTAGTTAGTCATAGAGCAGTTCTAAAGAATTTCTGACATCTGGTTAACTAATTCTTTACCTTCGTTTGGTACTTAGCTCCACCACACTTCAGAACTGCGGTTAGTTCCTTAATGTCGTTTGTGGTTATAAAATTTTCTTGTTTATCTGTGTATCGTTGACCTGGAATTGGAAGTGTACGTGTCTGTTGACATCATGCATGCGTTGTATTTTCAGTGAACAATTATATATGGTCTTTATTAGGAAAGGAAGAGGGCCAGAACTCTCTTCACTAATACAAAACTATATCAACCGCCAAATGGGATGGTAGAGAAAAAATATAGATGCTTCACAAGCAGAAGACAACCGTGTGTGACGAATGAAGAATACATCAAATGGTAATTAAAGTATCCTAAAGCTAGAGGATATCAGTATATTGTGAAGATTGAACCGTATGATGCAGCTATGAGAACGAAGATGAGCAGTGAAAATGACAACTTTGTGGAGCTTCCATCTGATGAGGATGAGCCATCTCGTGTTGATGGTGCAGTTTTAGATCCACTTCCTGCATTCATTAAATTCATACCAGTGCACAAAGTTAATGGTGGGGATCAAATAAATCTTGTTTTCACATATTATCTTGAGGATCCAAAACCATTCCATACCCGGAGTAAATGTGGTACTGCCCTCTGGTGATCCTGCGGGGGAGCCGGCTGGAGAAGCAGCTGACAACATACAGGTGGTGGTATTGATCAGTGGAATTAGACTAATTTAATCTTTATTATTTTTCATTACTGATTCAATACAGAGATCGTGCAGTTTTTGGTGATAAGTAATGATTTTTCTTTATTAGAAAAGGGAGTAATTAATTGCATCCTTACCACTACATTGGCTAATGGGTGGAGTCTGGACATTGCAAGCCCCAGGCAAGGCCAGAGCCTGAGTCTGGTTGATGTTTAGCCCCAACGATGAACCTCCACCATTGAGGACCTGACACAAGCATTGGGGTGATGAGCGGACAACATTGGCAAGCTGTGAGCAGCACTGCGAAGAAGGGGTTGAGGAGTTCCCCGTAATATAGTTGAGGCAAGGTGACAAGCTGATCAATTCATTGGTGCAACTAGACTGAGCTGCGGCTCCTGCACAAAGCATGGCCGCAACAACCAGGGCGAGACACACTGCCATCTTCCCGATTGCCATTAGCGTTCTCTGTGATCCTTAATGTAACCTGTGTACTCTAGTGATCTTGAAACTATGGAGTGTGATTGTGGTGATGGATGGAAAAAGGTTTGGGGTTTATATAGGGGGATTATGAAAGAACAGAGATAAAAAAATGTGTGTTTAGGTGACCAACTTTTTATAAACGGATTCAATGGTCAACAACAGGCTTAGCTCTTTGAAGCGGCTGAAGCATTGAAGTCTTGCAAACTATGCTTGCGTCTAGGTGGGTTTTGGGTAACCTACCAACTTATACTTGGCTGGTGTAGTGTACAGATATGGACAGCTTTTGTGGAAACCTGAACCATGAAGAAAGCATAACGTGTTTCTTGTTTCTGACTCTACCTCTCCGTGGAATTTTAGAATCCAAACCTGGTTTAGAAAGAGGAGAAAATTCTTTAAAGAGAAAAAGAAAATGATGTATGGTTGGGTAAGGTGGGGCTGGCTTTCTCCAGATGTCTGTCATGATGTCTGCTCATGTGTTTTGTTTATTGCTTTGGACCCAAGAAAAATGCTGTTCAATTTAGTATTTGAATCAAAGAGGGGAGGGACCATATATGGTCAAATTAAAGGACAGATGGGTTATCTTATTCTATACTCCTCACTAGAGGTTCAACACCATCTTGTTCGGGGTGTACTTCTTACTTGGACTTTTTCTTTGATTTGAAAGAATTGGCGTTAATAACGGTGCTCAACATTTCTCTCTCTCTCTCTCTCTCTTTTACACGAAGACTAAAAAATTCAATTCTAGATGTGTGATTAAAAACATAATTACTCTATACCACCAAATTATATGGCTACTTATGGTGCCTAAAACATTTCTAAAATGCTTTGAAGCATGATATAAAACTTATTTCACCCAAAGGTGGCGAATTATGTTTGGGGTTAGGTATTTAATATTTTACTTGATGTAACAAACATACATATAATTATTAAAGTTAGGTTTGGGAGTGTTGGGTTGCAGTACTAGTTGATTTTTTTGGTCTTTTAGTATTTTAAAAACATATTTATTAAAATATTAATTATTTTTTATATACTTTTAGAATTGTAAAAAAATATAAAGATTAAAATTTAAAGTACTGAAAAGTATTCTCAAACGAAACTTAAATAAAAATCAGAAGAGTTTTATTGTAATAAACATTTAAAATATTAAATTGTTAGTTTTGTTATATATCTAGTATGACATCTTTAAAATTTATGATTTAAGATTTAACAAATGAGAATTGATAAAATTTATCAAATCCTCCTTAATACAATCATTGGTAGCTTTAATGGATGCGCAGAATTTGCCTTATCCATCTTTTAATCCCATAAGAATGGGATGAAACAAATTATGTCATTCCCAATTTACCTATTTCAGCTTCTCTCTCTTGATAATAAACACAAATTAAAGATTTATTTCCTTGGCATGTAGCCAGAAGTCTTACATTACAAGGTAGAATGAGGGAAAACCATAGTCATAGTTTGAGAAATCACTCATACATATATATTAAGCAAACCATAAACACTTACTAAAACAGATTACATAATGCTGGAACAACACACAAGTTCATCTACATTATAAGATCTTGTATAGCAACAATACAAACACGTACATAGGCATCATCAAAAATTTCCAGAGGTTGCAACATAGGAAGCTCCGAGCAGGACAATGAGGACAAGCTAAAAGTATGAGTTGACATTGACCCTAACTCAGCTCCCTCCAGTTGATGGTGCTATTTTGGATCCTGCATCAATTCACAAAATAAATTACCACAAATTGCCTACAATTTTGCAACATTGCACACTAAGTTCGTTTTTCTTGTTCTTTCCCTTGAAGCGTCATGTCTCAATTGGTCACTTTATGCATATTAGACTAAAGTACATCTCTTCAATCCAGTTAAAGGCAAAAAATATTTAAATGCAATTCAGGAATCAATTACAACGTGTACCAATAACTCATAAGATATTTGGAGTTTGATCCGTTGGCATACCTTGAGGAGAACCTGCTGGTGCATCCACAGCTGCCAAAAAATTAATTAAACCATTAAGTTCTAAGTACATTTTCAGAACAAAATGTGACATTTTCTGTTTAGGCATTAGGCTCTCTTGGCATACCTCAAGGAGAAGCTACCGGTGCAACCGCAGCCGCAAAAAAATTAATTAAACCAATGAGTTCTAAACATACATTTCAATACAAAATGTAACGTTTTCTGTTTTGGAATTGAGCTGAACGAGCAATTACCATTGCATTCACTAACAGGAGGAGTCTGCACATTGCAAGCAGCAGGGAGGGCCAGAGCCTGAGTCTGGTTGATTGTAACACCGAGAGATGAGCCATTGAGCAATGAGCAAAGGCATGCAGGCTGTGATTTAACTACACTGGCGAGCTGCGAGCAGCACGAAGAAGTTGGGGTTGAGGAGGCCCCTGACACATAATTCAGGCATGGAGCCAGGCTGACGATGACAGTGGTGCAGCCAGAAGTACCAGATTGTGCCATGGTTCTTGCACAAAACAGGGTCACTAGGACCATGACAAGTCCAATGTTTAGCCCTCTTGTAGCCATTTGGATGAAATGAGTCACAGATTCGGGATATAATCAGGATGTGATCTATGCATTAAGTTAGACTTGAGTTGCTTTATGGTATAAGGAGAGGAATGACTTGACATAGATAAACCTTAGAAGGAAAGGATATTGGTAAACTAGAACAAACAATCTGATGTAAGATTGTGCTATAACAAGTAACATGTGTCATTTTCGGGGATGCTTTTGGAAGGCTATTTTTGGTAAGAATGGGTAAACTAGAACAACTGTTCGCCAGTCCGGACTGGCCCGGTTGGCAATGATTTAACCCTACTGTGGGTGAGGCCCATGGGACTTGGAAGGGGCCCAACTTATCGTGGGGCTGGATTGTCTGAAGTTCAGCCCATCCAAATTGGTGAACCTGATCCCCTGTACGCGAGTATGTTTAACCAATAAAACTTAAAACTGAGAGGAGATTCAGATTTTTAATAATGTAGAGAAGAATTTTATTAAAAATATTTTAATAAAGGATATTTTTAGGGTGTATGTTAAAAATATTTTTATTGTATTTTTTTATGATTAATTTATATGAAAAATATAAAAGTAAATTTTACTTTTAATATTAATCTCACATATAAAATTTTAATTAGATAATTGATAAAATTAAAATTAATTTTTATTTTTTTTATAAAAATTAATAAGAAAAATATACAATAAATACATCTTTAATTTTAAAAAAATCACTTTCATAAGTTTCTAGAGCTTGAAAAATTGATAGTAACCAAATCATAAGGTTTTAAAGTTAAACTGAGGAAAGTCTTAAAGCTAAAGGACTTATGCTTTATTTATCCAGAGACATAATACCAAATTCCTGTACTACTAGTGTCCAATTTGGTCAAGATAACAATAAATGTTTTCAAAATCCTATTAAACTCATTGAAATTTTGCATAGAGAACAATCCATGTCTTCCTATTGGCTAAATGTAGGTAGAGTTTTGAACTCCAACAAGCTAAGCCAAATAATACCACAACACTTCAGCTAGAGAGGCTCAAGTCAACAAAGGGTGCCCCGCACATCTATATAGGTGGCTAACTTAATCTTCCCATTGGATTAGTTAAAGTAGTTGAGCTCCAAAACCAACTTCAACATCCCTCCACTTGCTTTCACCAAATCCTTCGCCATCTATAAATTACCCCCAACTTCCCTTCCCTTTCCAATCGTCAGACACAAAACGTCCAAAACCATCCAATCAATCACCTCTTCTTCTACATCACAAACACAATCTCCTTTCCTTTCCCTCAAAACAATGGCTTTCTCTGCCTTCTCCCTTCCAATCTCTCGCATTTTTCTGATTCTTGCTGTGGTTCTAACAGTTTCTATCTTCCAAGTTTCCGGGCAACTGAATTTTCCTTGCACCCCCTCCATGCTCACCAGCGTCACCCCATGTATGAATTTCCTTACCAATAGTAGTTCCAATGGTACTACCCCAACCGCCGACTGCTGCAACTCTCTCAAGTCCCTTACCAGTGGTGGAATGGGTTGCCTGTGTCTCATTGTCACCGGTACCGTCCCATTCCAGGTTCCTATCAACCGGACTCTCGCCATCTCCCTTCCTCGCTCTTGCAACATGCCCAACGTCCCGGTCCAATGCAAAGGTAAAAGAAAATGCATTTTTGTCGAGACAACACAAAATTGTCACATTTTTCATGAAAATACTAACACATACGTAAATTTTCTTCATTTTCAGCCAATATTGCTCCTGTTCCAGCTCCTGATCCAATTTCGCTTTCTCCAGTAGGTTCACCAGCAGGTAAATTAACATTACCTAGAACCGAACTGTTCAAAGGGATGAACTTTAGTCTAACAAATTTGGTATTAATTTTTGACAATTTTGTTTTCTTGAGCAGCTCCCGTTGTTCCTGAGCCGACCCCATCAGCTGAGCCTACCCCACCAGCTGAGGCCCCAGTATCCGATACAACACCCGTTTTGACCCCTCCCTCAACAGAGGGTTCTGCAGTTCCGACGGCAACAACAGGAAGCCGCCCTACTCTGACCCCGTCGGCTGCCGTGTCCTCTTACAGTCTTTCTCCATCTCTTCTTCTGGCTGCTGTCGGATTTGTGGTTCTTAAGTACTACTACTAGGCTGCCGCCGCCGCCACAGCCACGGCCACCCCTTGACTTTCTTTATGTTATTTATCCATTGGTTTAGAAGTATTCTTTTGGGTTATCTTACTATTGTTTTGGGGTGATATGATTTTTCCCTTCCCTTTAAGATGTTTTTTTTTTTTTTTTTTAAATAAATAAATATTGTATTATGTATTAGTCATGAAGATTTGTTATTTTGTACAGTAAACTAAAGTTTTGATCTTTTGTTTTTATGGGTAAACATATTTTACATAAATGTGGTTAATAAGTTATTTTTTATTTTGATTACACAATAAAAAATAATTATTTTTTATATCTTATTCTGTTTTATTCATATATCATGCAATTTGAACTCAAAATCTCTTATTTTTAGTAAAAAAAAATGACCATTAAATTACTTAAGTTGGTGACGTAATTAATAAGTTATTATTAAGAGGAATACGATGAGAACAAGATAAACATATAAGTGAAAATAAATGTACCTAATAGGCTACTCTTTTTAGGTTTAAAGTGGTGGAGAAACATTGAACCTTTCCTCTTAGCTCCCGTAGGTCTAATCTACCCAACAAATTGTTCATGCCTCACTCATATTTAGAGTCATCAAAGCAGAACCACTTTTTCTGATAAATAATGGGTCTCATTTACAATCTTCCTCTTCAGAATCACCTACTAAACCAAAATGCTTTTTGAAGCAAAATCAATAAAAATATTTTGTTTCCAATGCTACAATTAGCTAAAACATTATCTAACCATATCCTTAGATGCAAGTGATTCATTCTCAAATCTTAAAGTGTTTAGATTAGTTGGTCGAGTTTTGAACTTTACTAATACTTTGAAAAATTCTCTAATTCCTTAAATTGTAAACTATTCCAAAAAAGAAAAGAAAAGCTAGAACATGATCAAATTTTGACACCCTCTCAAAAGAAACAAAATTACCCTGTTCTAATTATATTAATATAGGAACCAACCTATTGGACCAATTGATTCACCAACAAAACCTCGAATTTGGATTCAAATAGATTAATAATTCTATTTTCACTAATTACGTGAAAAAACATTTTCTCTTCCAAAAATTCCCCTTGTCAAAAAAAAAAAAATATATATATATATATATTAACATAGTCTTTCTTTTTGCACTCGATCCTTCAATCAACTGATACTTTGGCAGTTTGAAGTGCATTTCTCTTCCTTTATGGGCGAACTTCGAACCCACCCTGACAACTTGCAAAAAAAAAAAAAAAACGTAGTCTTCCCTTTTTATTCTCACTGCCATCATAAGAGAAATTTGAAAAATAAAAGTAAAATAAATGAAATAAGCGGAAAAAAAAAATCACTCTTAACCTTTTTCCCGCCCAAAACTCGACCTTATAGGCCCCACCATAACGAACCTCCGAGCAAATTACCAATCGTCTTCTCTCAACCCACAGCCATGACTCTCTCCACCGCTTTCATAGCTCTCCTAGTCTCGATCCTCCTCGCCACCGTCGCAGCACCACCGCCGCCCCATCCAGACTGCGTGGCGGAGCTAGTGGCGTTCTCGCCTTGCCTGCCGTACGTGTCCGCTTCGCCAAACAACTTCATGGCCACCGTGCCTCTGCAGTGCTGCGATGCGATATCCTCAGCGTTCAACTCCACCGGAGATTACTGCTTCTTCTTCCTTCTCCGTCAGCCGGTAATCTTCGGCTTCCCTTTGAACGTTTCCAGAGTCCTTTCACTGTCGCCGGTTTGCTCTGTCAGGACTGGCTATTCTCCGGAGCCGACCAGCCATTCAGGTTTTGATCGATTCTTATTGTATTCTCTAAGTCGTTCATCGAATCGATCAATTTATCTATTACACTGAAATTTCTGGAATTCAGTTTTTAGCGTTAGCAGATCTCTTCCTTTCTGTGATTTTTGATGCGTACGAAATAGAACAATTTGGGATTGAAGAAGGAAAATGAAAATCTTAAGCCAAATCTTCATGTTAGAGTTAAAATTAGACCTGAACAGCCTCAAATTAGTAGTTCCTGGTTGTTAATTTCTTTATACTTTTCTTTAATTCTAGTTTTTTCTGGTGGAAAATTCTGTCACGAGCTTCCTATTCTGAGTTCATGCCTTCCTGGAGAATTGGATTTGATTGTCGCAGATTGAGGAAATTCCGAGCTTCAATGCCTGCAATAGATTTCTGTGTTACAACGCATTCAACAGCATGAGTTTTCATTATTCAGAATGTGCTCTGTTTTTAGGTGCTAATCTTTTGTTGGAAAAATGGACTATTGTTGATTAACACAATGTTATGTATATTTGTTATGCATCAGGGGCACAAGAGCTGTCGCCTCTTCCCGGAAGCACCAATGCGGAGACCTCCAAACCTTCAGATTCCCGTATGTCGCAGATTGAACAGATTCAGAACTGCAATGCCTGCAAAAGATTTCTGTGTTGATATTTTAGCAGCATCTGAATTACAATGATTTCAACTGCATGAATTTTCATTATTCAGATTGTGCTCTGTTCTTAGGTGCTGATCTTTTGTTTGGAAAATGGACAATTGTTGATTAACAGAGTGTTATGTACAATTCAGGGGCACAAGAGCTGTCGCCGCTTCCTGGAAGCACCAACCCAGAGACCTCCAAACCTTCAGATACCCGTATGTCGCAGATTGAACAAATTCAGAGATGCAATGCTTGCAAAAGATTTCTGTGTTGATCTTTTAGCAGCTCCTGAATTACAATGCATTTAACAGCATGGATTTTTATTATTCAGATTGTGCTCTGTTTTTAGGTGCTAATCTTTTGTTAGAAAAATGGACAATTGTTGACTAACACAATGTTATGTATATCTGTTATGCATCAGGGGCACAAGAGCTGTCGCCTGTCTCCGGAATCACCAATCCAGAGACTTCCAAACCATCAGATTCCCGTAAGCAATTCTTTTCTACGATTTCATTCTGCCAAATTTCTTTTTCCTGGATCATAGCAACATGTCTAAATCATAGCAACATGTCTAAGTACTAATGTGCAAGAGAGAAACAATTGAAGTGTTTATAAGGTTTGAAGCATCAATGTCAAAAGGTTACTTCCATAGACTAATAAGAAAATGATTTTGCAGTTGCAGATAATGCTTCATCTCCAGTGTCTATCACTATACCAAATCCCTTTATTTCACTACCCAACCACACAGAGAGACCACCAACACCATTGATATCATCAGGCAATGTTTCATTTGCAACGACTCAGATCAAAAGTTGTGCTTGGTATGCACCTGCAGTACTGATTCTCCTTAGGTACATTCATATGTAGTCTTACAATAATAAAGATTCTACCATTCATTTCATGTAATGGTTGAACAAACGATTTGTATTTGGTAAATTTGAATCATTCACATCACAGGCTTCAGTTGGATAGAAATAAAGCATCAACAATAGAAGTTTGTCTTTTGCCTTTTCTTTACACACCGAAATACTAGAGCAAAAGGAAGGAGGGGGGTGGGGGGCTTCACTGCCACCCATCAGACCACTCATCCTTTGTTGTAATGGGGTCACGTATTTCACTGGGAAATGAATCTTCACCCCATTCAGCATCAGCAGTATATTGAGGGATGTTTTCTTCAGGGTTCACATAATCTTCATGCTCTGGAAAACTATCGTCAAACTCCTGTCTTGGAGGGAGATCACAGCCCTGATAAGAGTTGTTCTTTGAACAATGCCATATAAGCTTGCTCCAGTAATAGTCCTGCCATCGAGTAATAACTGAACATCAAATGGGGTATAGGTAATGATTTAATGCCAAAAATATTATTTCTATGGCATGGAAATATGTATTTTATCTCATGGTAAGCTAATTTATAAAAATACACCATTCTTCCAATTGGGTTAGCACTTAAAAGATGGGACAGGGCTCAAATGACTGGATGCAGCAGAATAAGACTTAATAACATCCATTTCTGTTGCTCAAGAATAGGACAAAAGGAGTTATTCTCTTAAAATCATGAAAAGTTTGTTGAATTTAGCATCAATTTCAGCAGGTTCAGCAACTAAACAATGACTACGATTCTAAGAGATGTAACCAGGCACTACATGTTTCTATAAGCAATCATCTAGTCCAACAAAGGTTCCAAAAGAGGTGTTGTCAAGATACCCATGGTCACATACTGCATCAGAAATGACTAAATTCCTGAAGACCAAAATGGGAAACGTCAGTTTCTTTAGTCCTAGCATCATGACACATGGTTACCTAAACACTTGCTCAAGTTAATCCTAAATGATGGCTTGCAATTATGAAAGCAATACCTTAGCAAGTATGTGTGGATTCCCAACAATAACAAGCAAAGATATTGCACGCGTGATGGAAACATTAAACCTCCTTTCATTGCTCAAAAATCCCAAACAGTGGTTATTGTCAAACTCATTATGCTTGATTGTTGATCGGACTGTGGAAATGATTATAACTTTCCTTTCTTGTCCTTGAAATTGTTCAACGCTGCCAACCTTGATATCGAACATATCAAGATTTTCAAAGGCTTGCTTTAGCTTGAGTACTTGTTGCCTGTATGGTGTTATAATCCCTATTTCTTCCTCACTCAGATTTCCACTTGCTAGCAAACTCCTTGTGAACTCTATCACCTTACTTGCTTCTATCCGATTGAACCATGATGGATTATTTCCTTCCCTCTCATCACAACCTTGAATGCCAAAGAATAAAACAGGAAACTGCTTATTAGGCAGGAAGTTCACTGAATTGAGAAAGGAATCTGTCTGCTCTTTACAAGGGATCAGTTCCCCCCTGTAGAAAAGGGTTGAAGGGAGATAGAGAATCTCTGGGTGACACCGGTAGTTTCTAACCAGTTTTGTTACATAATTTTCATCCCCATTGAAATAAGATTCAAACTCAAATAGCCTTTCCAAATATGATTTCCCCAGTCCACAACTCTTTGCTTCTTTGGAGTATATCACTGGACCTAATTGCATTGGATCTCCAGCAAGTACAACAACAGTGTCCCTTTTACAAAGGTTTGCTATGGAGATTAAGTTCTCTGGTTCTGAGGCCTGACCGGCCTCGTCTAAAAAGATATGAGAGAAGTGGCCACGCTTGACACCTTCAGCAAAAAGAAGAGACACACTCATGTAAGTTGATATGATGATCTTATAGCAAGAGAGAGCATTAAGTGGGGGACATTTGAAGACGAACTCATCAAAGAAGCAAAAGCGGATGTAATCAGGATTTATTTCCTCATATGAACGAGTTGCTGCATTCAGCCTGAATATTTCATTCTCTTTAAGTTGCACAGCCTTCTCATTTAGGAGTTTTTCTAGAATATTATCTGCTGCACTATTTGAAGGTGCACACACAAGAATCCGATGGCGTTCTTTAGTTGTGTAGAGTTGGAGAATTGCTTCCACCAGTGTCATGGTCTTTCCAGTACCTGGGGGCCCATAGATCACATAAGGGGGTCCTCCTTTACAGCCAAGGATCATCTCAATGGAACACATCTGTTCCTCATTGAGTGTGCTAGATATCGGCACCAGAGGAGTGGTTTCAATCACCCTATTTTCAGGGCACTCAGATGGGAAAAGAAAATCCAGTGCCAACTTCTCTGCTGCTTCAACTGCCTGATATTGCCTTCTCATATTGATTCGATTATATGTAAACTGTACATTATAAAGATTTTCATCTCTGTGGCGCAAATGAAACTCCGCAGCAAACATCAAATACACTTCATCAGCTTCCACACGGTGAATATAACCCTGCACAGCACCTCATTCCATTATGGTTTAAAAATCCTAGGATTGTAATTTGTAATGACTATAATAATGTGCATGGACAGAAAGCAAACGTTAATGCATTAAGATGAACAAGTAGAGATGCAAGCCAACAACATTATCAAATATTAACTGTGAAAGCTACATTTTTCGCTTATGAGTCATATCATGTTGAGCATCTCTCATCAACAAAACCAGAAAAATACACGTCCATCCAAATTTCCAGTTCACCAGCTTATAGGCAGGAAAAAGTTATTTAATCATGATCTAAAGTAAATCAGATGATATGACATCAACCATAACAGAACTGCTTTAAATTATGTAATCAAATTCCTAGTGTGGTTCATATAGCTGAAATGCTTCAATACCAAATGGCAAAAAGCTTATTATTTTATATGAGGAGAAACCTGGTAAGGTGGAGTTGTTTCACTTGCATCGTCAAATGCAAGCTTAGCAAAAATGTAATCTCCATGGACAAGTGAAGGCCTTCTTTCAGCTAGCCCAGGGACCTGAAGAGATAAATTCTGTCCTTTCCTCTTCATTTTAACATTCTCCATGTCATAAGCTCTCATGTCTTCCTGAGGCAACAAAATTACAAAAGTCATCAGAAAAAATCAATAAATTTATCACAAAAGCAATCTTATAGATTTTCATACAAAAGGAAAGTACCTCTAGTTGTATCTCTTCCATGATCAATAAAGTTTTGAAGAAAGATGCATAATTACCCCTAGTTAAACCTCTGGTAACTTCGTCAGGAATCTGCTTGCTCTCAACCAATTCCCTAATATCTTTTGGAATGTCATATCGAGGAAGCCTGTTTTTGAATGCTTGACTCCTTCCCTGAGCTGGGCGAGATCCTGCAACAAATTTATCAGCAACGAATTGCTTCTTCTTCTTCTTCATTCCTCTTGAATATGCCCTTTGAGGAGCCAAAGATTGTGAGATCTTATCATCAGCCAAGAGAAAAACAACTCTTTCAACCCTATCATCCCCCACATCAAAATGTACTATAGTAGTGTGCAATCCGATTGTCTGAGGCTTGCAAGACAACCAAATAGTGAGACTGTCCCCTGGCTGAAGCATTCTGTCCTCTAAGGTAAAGGATTCAATGAAACCTTGGCTCATATTTCCTTGAGAATTTTTTGATGGAGGTCTGATCAAAGAAAGAGTGAAAGAATTCTCAGGAGTTGAAGCATAAATTTTAGTCCACAAATCCAATGGTTCATCAGTGGAGTTTTTCAGAGTAATCGAATCGGCCACAGTTTCTCCAACAAATATGGATTGAGGCTTCCCATTAACAAAAGGGAATGGTACAGAAACAGAAACAGGACCCTCTTCAATTGGATTGTAGCTGCACACAGACTTATCATCCTCATAATCAATAAACCCAACTTCACCTTTGTCTCCAATGACAGAATATTCATCATCCCAGCTATCACCACAAGTACTCATCCTTGAACAGAAACTGATGCAGAAAAAAAAAAAAAAAGAAAGAAAGAAAAAAGTTAAAACTTCAAACAACTAATATACAGATTTCAAGGATAAATTTTGCTATCTAAGAATAGATCAAGTAAATTATAACTCTTGACGCTGAGATTAGTTAAACCTAATCAATCAACAGAAGCTGTGGAACATAGAAAAGCAACACAAAACTTCATCCCATTCAAAGAATAATGAAAACAACAATTCTAGCATGACAAACAGGTCTAGAATGTAACAATGTTTTTGTTGTACTAGATCCTTCTATTTAAAGCAAGTTCTGGACCATGCGTTTAAGGATCTCCTGCCACAGCAAACATGGTTAAGCTTATGTATAATAACTAAAATATATACAAAGAAAAATTAATTTAATAATAACCAGATTAATATTTTTAACAATGTGCTGAAACACCAAAGAAACAAACAATCGAAGCAATCAATGAATTGGGAAAAAAAGAAAAAAAAGGGCAGAAAAATTGAAACTTTTCTGAGACCCATAAAGCAGAAACACTGAAACACACTGTTTAGAGTTTACAACCCACATCAAGCGATGCCATTAGCGGAAGTTATCAAAGTACCATCTTTCATATCAACAG